GGGGGGTGCGGGGGGGGGGTGCGGGGGGCGCCCTCTAGTGTGGGTTCTGGGTTCCAGCACCAGCAGCAGGTGTTGCAGGCCGTGGAGCGGGCCAAGCAGGTGACCGTGGGCGAGCTGAACAGCCTCATTGGGGTGAGTGTTCTGGCACCCCCACAAGCGCTAAACGGCGTGGTGGGCGGTCGAGCAGCCTGGGCTCTGGCGACCCTGCAGACCCTCTGCTCACGCTGATGCTGAGCAATCCGTGTGCCAGCCTGGGGTGCCCGGTGGGTGCCTGGCCTGCTCGCCCTGGCCCATCCTTTCTCCCCTCTAGCAGCAGCAGTTCCAGCCCTTATCCCATCATGCCCCGCCGGTGCCCCTCACCCCGCGGCCGGCCGGGCTGGTGGGGGGCAGCGCCACCGGGCTGCTCGCTCTGTCGGGAGCGCTGGCTGCACAGGCCCAGCTAGCAGCCGCTGCCAAAGAGGACCGCGCAGGGGTGGAGGCCGAGGGATCTGGGGGTGAGTGGGGCGATCCGGGGGGGCTTTGGTAGAGGGCTGTGGGACAGTGGCTGTGTGGGGGCTGTACTTAATCCCTAGTGCTGTGTGTCCTTGGGGAGATTGCTAGCCATCTCTGGGCATGAATGGATTCAGTGCACCACTTGGAGGGATGGATATAGGAGATTCTTTGTTTGTTTGTTTTGTTGGTTGTGGGGCTTGAACACAGGGCCTGGCACCATCCCTCAGCTCTTCAGCTCAAGGCTAGCACTCTACCACTTGAGCCATAGCACCACTTCTGGCTTTTATGGCTTATGTGGTACTGAGGAATCGAACCCAGGGCCTCATGCATGCAAGGCAAGCGTTCTACTACTGAGCCTCCTTCCCAGCCCACCCCTTTGTTTGTTTGTTTATTTATTTATTTTGGTGCCTATCCAGGGGCTTGAACTCAAGGTCCAAGCACTGATGATGGACTTTTTTTTTCTGCTCAGTGCTGGCATTCTAACCACTTAAGCCATAGCTCCACTTCTGGTTCATTTTTTTGGTGGTTCATTGGAGATAGGAGTTATGTGCATTTTTCCTTCTCTGGGCTGGCTTTGAACTGTGATCCTCAGATCTCAGCCTCCCAAGTGGCTGGGATGACAGGCGTGAGCCACTGGGGGTGTCTGGACTTGGATAAGAGAGATTCTTAGCTGGGAAGGAGGTTTTATGAACTGGATTGTACTTTGTACTCCACATTTATGGAGTATGAAACCTTCATATATTCTCCCTCTCTCTCTCTCTCTCTCTCGTCTGTCTCTTTCTCTGCCTCCTACCAGAGAGAGCTGCAAGCAGGGTAAGTTGAGGCCTAGGAGCCAAAGCTGCTGCTTGTCCTGAGTCTGGGGGTACGGTGGGGGGAGAGCCCTGGGGTCTAGAGAGACTGCAGTTCTGACTTTCACACTGGGAGTCCAGGAGGCTTTTGGTGAGCGAGATGCCCAAGGCATTGGAGTTTGCTTTACTCAGTCTCGGCTGGGAAGGTGGCTTGGTGGTAGAGCGCTTGCCTCGCATGCATGAGGCTCTGGGCTCCATTCCTCAGTACCACATAAAGAGAAAAAGCCAGAAGTGGTACCGTGGCTCAAGTGGCAGAGCGCTAGCCTTGAGCAAAAGCAGTTCAGGGACAGCGCCCAGACCCTCAGTTCAAGCCCCAGGACTGGGGGGGGCGGTTGAGGGAGAAGAATTCCAACCTACAGTTGGTGGCCGGTGGCTCACGCCTGTCATCCTAGTGACTCAGGAGGCTGAGCTCTGGGGATCGCAGTCAGAGCCGCAGGTCTGGAGTACGGCTTGGGAGCCGGGCTCTGACCTTTCCTCCGGTGTCTCCCTGCAGAGCGCGTCCCCCTCGCCCCCTGAGAGCCTGGTGGAAGAGGAGCCACCCAGCGTCCCCGGGGGCCCTGGCAAGCAGAGGCCCGAGGACAAGGAGCTGTCTGGACCTTATGTGAGTCAGGGCCCGGCCCAGCCGGAGCCTCCCTCAAGAACCTCGCCTCCTTCCCCAGGGCTCGCGGAGCACTGGCCAATCAGAAGCGACTCTGCTTGCAGGCTGGAGTCTGTAACGGCTCTGATCCCAGAGCCCCTCCACTGTACAACCATTGGACCTCCCTCCCTCCCTCCCTCCCTCCCTCCCTCCCTCCCTGCATCTCTCCTTCCTTCCTTCCTTCCTCGTCCTGGGGCTTTTACTCAGGACTCTGGTCTCTGTCTCCCACCCCTCTCCCAAAACAGAGGGGGGCCCTGGGGCTGGGAAGGGGTGTGGAGAGGCAGGAGGCAGGGCGTGACCGCAGCGGCTCCCCACCCCATGTTTCTCCCAGGAAAGCGATGAGGACAAAAGCGACTACAACCTGGTGGTGGACGAGGTAGGTGTGCGCCCGCCCGCCCCCAGCACAGAGCATGCGGGTGGGGCTGGGGAGGGGAGCCCAGACCCCCTTGCGTGGGTCCACACAGGCCAGGAAAAGTGGGGGTCGCCAGGCTGATTTCTCTTAGGGTACAGGAGGGGAAACTGAGGCCTTACCCTTACGCAGCTGTCGTCAGACTTTTCAAGCCCGGATCTGAGCCACTGGGAGGTTTATTCCAGGTCCCCAAGGCTATCCAGGGTGCCTGGCTGGAGGGTGACGTGGGAAGAAAACACACAGACCGATTCCTTCCAACCACCCCCCTCCTCGAACCCAGGACCAGCCCTCAGAGCCCTCCAGCCCGGCCACCACCCCATGTGGGAAGGCGCCCATCTGTGTCCCCACACGGCGGGACCTGGTGGACAGTCCAGCCTCCCTGGCCTCTAGCCTTGGCTCACCGCTCCCCAGAGGCAAAGAGATTGGCCTGGTAAGGAAGGGTACTACAGGGGGGCTGGGGGAGCCTTGAAACTCATTTTATAAACCATCCTGCAGGACGGGAAGGGGGGGGCCTGGAAACGGACACAGGACAATGAGAATTCAGCTTGGCTGGAGCGGTGTACTTTTTCTGTCCTCCTGATTCTTCGGCCCCTTGGTTTTTTTCCTGCACTCTGTGGAAAGTCAGTAAATATTAAAAAGGTAACTTTGTCACAAAGCTTAGAAAATACAGAGGAGGCTGGCTGGCTGCCCTACATGGAGACCGAAGAGCTCTTGAAATAAATAGGAAATAAAAACAGGGAAGGAAAGAGAGAGAAAAGCCCGGGGATGGAAGGGAAAGCGGGGCTGGACCCGAGAGACCCTGATCATGTAAAAAGTACCCACAATGCAGCTGCACTGGGGACCTCCCCCCCCCCAGGGCTGCCCCACCCCTGCCTGGCACTTACCCACGGAGACCATCAGTTTCCAGGCTCCTCTTCTCCCTCCCTCCCTCCCTTCCTCCCAGCTCCGTTGGCATGGTAACCACCAGAGGTTAGAGCTCAGACTCCAGTGGGGTTTTTGTTGTTGTTGTTTTAAATTTTACTTTAGAGGGCTTTGTTTGTTTATTTTATTTATTTATTTATTTTTGCTCATCCTGGGGCTTGAACTCAAGGCCTCGGCTCTGTCCCTGGGCTTCTTTTGTTCAAGGCCAGCGTTCTTCCACTTGGAGCCACAGCACCACTTCCGGTTTTCTAGTGGTTCACTGGAGATAAGAGTTTCACAGACTTATCTGCCCGGGCTGGCTTTGAACCGGGATCCTCAGATCTCAGCCTCCTGAGTCGCTAGGATGACAGGCGTGAGCCACCGGCGCCCATCTAGTGTCTTCTCTTAAAAGCTTTTCTTCCTCCCCTCCGGGGATATGTTGGGTGAAGGTGCACAGGGCAGCTTTGTTCCGAAGCACACAGAGGTCTCCCCGACTCTCCTGGGGTGCCTTCCAGCCTCTTTTGGGCATATGACTCTGCAAAGATGGTGACACCCAGAGAAAAACGTGGGAAGTGGGGGAATTGAACTCAGGGCCTAAGTGTTATTGCTTAGCTTTGTTCCCCCTCGAGGTTGGAACACTACCACTTGAGCCATGCCTCCAGTCCAGCATCTTGCTGGTTAATTAGAGATAAGACTCTCACCAAGGACTTTCTGTGCCCTGGCTGGTTCTTCAGAAACTATCTGGTTTCTGAGCAGCAACCTGGGCTGCTGGGCGCCCCCCCATGCTGGGGTTCAGCCTGGCCCTGGCCCCCCTCACCCCCCACCCCCGGTGCCGGGGTTCAGCCTGGCCCTGGCCCCCCCCCCCCCCCCCACCCCCGGTGCCGGGGTTCAGCCTGGCCCTGGCCCCCCTCACCCCCCCCACCCCCGGTGCCGGGGTTCAGCCTGGCGGTCAGCCCTGGACTCTCTCCTCCGCAGAGTGACCTTCCCACCGGGACCTCCGCCTGCAAGTCCTCTGACTCCTCCCCACCCCAGGATGCCTCCACGCCCGGGCCCAGCTCCGCCAGCCACCTCTGCCAGCTGGCTGCCAAGCCTGCGCCGTCCACGGACAGCATCGGTGGGCCCCCGTCCATCCCAGGGACCCTCTTCCTTCCGGCTTGCAGAAAATGGTGGAGAAACTTGAGGCCCAGATAGACAGAGTGACTCCCTCTCCCTAGTACCCAGCAAAGAAAGAGTCATACTTGGCCATTGGCTAGCTATGCCACCTTGGGCTGGTGACCCAACCTCTCTGAGCTTCACTTTCCTCCCTGCAAATCTGAGTGAGGGAGTGTGGGGGCGGGGCTCTGTGACCCCTGAAACAAGTTGGCTTCAGGACATGTCCTCTACCAAGTGGTGGAGGAAATGACTGGACCTCATTATCCGCCCCCCCCATAGGATCAGGGCTAGAGGAGGAGGGACTCAACACTAGGGTGTGGGTTTTGAAGGATGCGTAGGAGTTCGCCAACTGAAGGCAAGGAAAGGCATGTCAGTCACAGGAACGGAATGTGTGGAGCTCTGGAGTTGTCCCTGGGTGTGCTGAGGTAGAGCCACAGCATATAAACTGTGGGCAGCGGGATCTGGGTACAGAGGTCTGAGCCCTATCCTGTCCCCTGTTGCTCAGCCCTGCGGAGCCCCCTGACTCTGTCCAGCCCCTTCACCACGTCCTTCAGCCTGGGCTCCCACAGCACCCTCAATGGGGACCTCTCCATGCCCAGCTCCTACGTCAGCCTCCACCTGTCCCCCCAAGTCAGCAGCTCGGTGGTCTATGGACGGTCTCCCATGGTGAGTGTTCAGGGTAAGGGGGGGCCCAGCAGGAGGCTAGGGGTGTGTTTGGGGAAGTAAACCAGGAGGAGTGGGAATGGGGAAGTTTGCTTCACAATGCAGGAGGGAAGACAATCTGATGGTCTCAGCACCCCCCCCCACCCCGCCACCCCCAGCAGGGTCGGGTGTGGTGTTGCATGCCTGTAATCCCAGCACTAGGGAGGCTGAGGCAGGAGGATCTCAAGTGTCAGGCCAGTCTGGGCGCTGGTGGCTCACGCCTGTCATCCTAGCTTCTCAGGAGGCTGAGATCTGAGGATTGTGGTTCAAAGCCAGCCCGGGCAGGAAAGTCCCTGTGAGACTCTTATCTCCAATGAACCACCAGAAAACCGGAAGTGGCGCTGTGGCTCAAGTGGTAGAGCGCTCGCCTTGAGCTGAAGAGCTGAGGGACAGCGCCCAGGCCCAGAGTTCAAGTCCCAGGACTGGCACACGTGTACACACACACACACACACGCGCACGTGCGCACACAGTGCCTATTGACTGCCTGGCAGCTCTCTCTTGTAGACCCGGCCTTTCCCTTCTCTCTTCTCCCTCCGCCCTTCATTGAAGGGCTGTTTCTCCCCGGTCTGTCTGCTCCCCCCTCCCCTGCTCCTCCCTCCCCTCCCCTCCCACCCCTAGGCCTCCCTGGGCTGCATTTGCTGGCTGGCTGCCAGGCCAGATTGTGCCCTTGAACTTGGCCCCTTGCCTCCACCTCCTCCTCCTTCCAGCCTCTCCCATCTCCTCTCTGCCCTGTGCTCCGCCCCCTCAGTACCCATCACCCCCATTCCCTCCTCCCTCCTCCCCGCCCAGCATCCAGCTCGGCTCCTCTCCTCTGTCCTGCCTGGGCCTGTTGGGTAACTCAGTGGGCAGGCATCCTCGTGGGGAATGGCCAGCTCCCCAGCTGTGGCTTGGGAGAAGTGGGTGGGTGACTTGGCACTGGGCCTGGGATGTGGCCAGAGCGGCTTTTGAACCACAGCCACAAAGCCACCACCCCCAGGACTTTGCTGTATGACCCCAGGCAGCTTGCTAGGTGTCTCTGGGCCTGGAAAGATTTGCCTAGCTACTGGGGGGGAGAGGGAGGGGAGGGCAAAGGCTCAATATTTTATTATTAGGCTGCTGTGTGTCAGGCTAGAGTGAGGTACCAGGGACACCCCCCCTTTTCCCTTCAACCCATTGACCTTTGGAGAGAGAAACAAGAACAATTAATATAGCAAACACCAGTTCGCACCAGTCATTCTAGCTACTCAGGAGGCTGAGGTCTGAGGATTATGGTTCAAAGCCAGCCCGGGCAGAACAGTCTGGGAGAGTGTTGCCTCCAATTAGCCACTAAAAAGGCAGGAAGTGGAGCTGTGGCTCAAGTGGTAGGGCAGCAACTTTGAGTGAAAACGCCAGTGAGAGAGTGAGACCCTAATTCTAGTCACACTCACACATACACACACAACAAACAACCAAAAAAGTCTGAGCAGAGGGATTAGCACCTGTGCAAAGGCCCTGGGGTTAGGCCTAGACCAAGGCTAGACAGTAGAGTATTCTGGGACGTCACTGAGCAGGAGAGGAATGGGATCTGGTTCACATCATTTCAGTGGATGAGCAAAGATGTGGGAAGAGCCCAGGTGTGGCCACGCACACCTGTAATCCCAGTGGTCTAGGACCCCTGTCTGAGGCCCAGAGAGGTCAGAGGGAGACTCAAGGGGCTCCCGCTATTGGTCGGTTACCAGGAATGGCTGTGAGCATCTTTTCCGGGCCCTGATTTGGGCGAGAATTCTAGTGGCAGGCCTGTTTTCCAGGTGAGAAGACCCGGCTGTGTGAGCATGCT